CTAAATGTTTTTCACGTGGGCTCAGTAGCTTTGCCTTTGTCGCCCTCTGTCTTGGCACTGCTTATTTATTTGACCTCAACTACGCTCCATCAACAGTTAACACATATGTGTCTGCTATTGGTTATTCTCATCGATTGTCAAATTTACCAGATCCGACGAGAGTTTTTTACATTGTGCAAATACTTAAGGGGTATGGAAAAAAGGGCTTCCGTTTAGACAGTCGGTTGCCTATAACACTACCAATTCTCAACCGCATTATTGAGGCTTCGCCTCACATTTCTGGTTCTCACTATCAGATATGTCAATTTAAAGCTATGTGCTCATTAGCTTTTTTTGCTTTTCTGCGGATTGGAGAAATAACGATCACATCATCACATAACCAACCCCTACAAATACATCAGCTCTCGCGGATATATGACACGAATAACCATGTGGCAGGCCTGAAGTTAACATTTCAAAATTTTAAGCATATTATTACGGCTATTACTATAACAAGGAATGGGGAATCGGGGAAAGGAATCGGGGAACGGGGAACGGGGAATGGGGAATGCTAAAACCCGGAATACTAAAATGGGGAATCTCTAAAACCCGGAATACTAAAATGGGGAATCTCTAAAACCCGGAATACTAAAATGGGGAATCTCTATAGTCACATTCTTTTCGGATTGGTGCAGCTTCCCACGCTGTAGAAAATGGTTATTCTGATGCGCAAATCCGTGCGTTGGGGCGTTGGAAATCGAACGCGTTTCTAAAATACTTGCGAATTTCTACTATATCGACATATCCCATTTCACCTTGATTTCTGAGCATAAAACATGCGGGGTGTTTTATCCTCAATTTTATCTGAAATTTCCCATGCATGATTTTGAGCGTGATTAGCAAGGGCAATCATGCAATCTGTCAGCGCCCTTTGGTTGCATAACTCGCATTGCACCGATATGTCATCAGCAAGGGCGATGTCGTATATTCTCTTACGTAGTGCGTATTGTGCAATTGACCTGGGTGTTTTACTTCGCAATTTTATCTGCATGTTTAGTAAGGACAGACAAGGCAATCCAATGTTTAATTCAATGAAGGACTGGTGTGGCAATATTGTATCCGTCAAAAACTTGGGCTTAGGCAAAGTAACATTGCATGACAACATTTCGCCTGCCGTAGTCTGCAAGGGCGGCTACATTTCTACTTTTTGCTGATATAAGCTACTTGGTTGCCTTCGTGGCCCATAAATCTCGCCGGATGAGCGTGCATTCTTTTTCCTTGGGGTGGGGTTTCATCTCCGTTTTGCTTCGATGATTTGGCGATAATCTGCCTCCACCCTTTTCTGGGCAAAATTGTTAATATTTTCATACATATATATTATTAATTATTGTTTTATTAATTTCAATAAATCGGCTAGGAGAAAGGTTACTCCTAGCCAAATTATCCCAAATTGTTTTATTCTTTGCTATTTAACATATACCCAGAAAACAAAGCTGCGGAAAAAGAATGCCTGCATTATTCAGTGGCTACATTGGCGGTAGGTGGTTTGTAATAAGGTGAATCACATTGCATAAAATGCCTTATACAAATCCATGTTGTCGATCTGGTATAGGGCCTACTTGATTTCATTAAACAAAACATTAACACAATACAAACAGTGGCTGGTACATATTTAATTTTTTGAAGAAAAAAGATCCTTAAGCCAGTATGTCGACCTAGTACTAAACTAATCAACAACTGCAACTAACTATAGCTAGTAAAAATACTTTAAAATTATTCTCGTGTACTAAGTTAAAATCCCACAAAAATCGTAAAGTTAAAAGTCTAGAATCACACAAAGTTAACGTTGTTTGTATTATGTTTGTATGCTGTTGGTCAACCACTGTGGCATGAAATATGGATAGATGAACTTGCCCTCCAGCTGCCTCTTGCAATTTCTCTCGATAATTTGCTTGTTGACTTTGCCATGGAGTTCATCATAGTACTTTTTCACAAGTGCTTTGGCTTGATCATCTGCCAAATTATCGCTGTAGTCGAAGAGTTTGTCATATCGTATAGATCCCAAAGTCATGGCAATGGAAAGTTGGTACTGAAAAACAATATAGAGAGTTACGATTTGTCCATTTTAGTGTAGGTACCCGACTTCCATTCTGCCGGACATGCATGGACATGGTGTTGAATTTTAGTGGGCATTGCCCAGTCGGACAACTAGTAACGAGAACTCATTTATATATTTATTATATAACGAATAATCATCAAATAAATGCACATGTCATGGTAAACTGAAAGTAGATTCAAACCCTAATACTATAGAGCGATATGTCGACATTGAAAGAATGACTCGAACTAACCCTTACAATCATAATCATATTAATCATATCTGAAATCCTATAAGCGTAATCATAACGTTTATCTAACCCCAATCCTTACATTAACTAATCCTATACCAGAAATGGTAAATAATGTAATCATTTCAGCTATGTAGACATTGATTTAGTGTAAACGTCATTACACCATTCATTTTTGTGCTAGCTAGGAAACACCAAATACACTCGCACATCCACTCGTACAATAAGTGTTGGTATTTCATGCAGCTCTTACTGGGTGTGAATTTGGTGTTTCCCTAACACAAAAAAACATGGTTTTAACATTTACACTAAGTCAGTGTGTAGAGAGCCTGCAACGATTACGCCATTTTGGTATTGTAGCAACACCCACAAATTTATTGTGTGGAAGTCATCCTACTCTCCGATTAATATATTGACTGATTGATAAGAAATATTTCGTTTAAACTTTACCGAAACAATGTTATAAATTGGCAAATTATGAATGCTGAAATCTTGTGTGTCTGGATAATAAAGCTTGGTTGGCATGTTGGGTGTATACGCTCCATAGTAAGATACAGGGTAGTTGATAGCACTGTGCTGAATGGGAATGAACAGGATTCGTTTCACGATGTCAACAAGTTGCTCATGTGTGGTAATCGTCGACGGAAAACCTTTAAACTGAAAAGAAATAAGTTTAGTCCTCCCTTGATAATGTTGAAAAAATTAACAAATCGTAACGTGTTAAATTATTTGGCAAACTATAATAGTAAGATTTGAAATAGACAAAAAGATAATACTATACATGCGCAAAAATGTTCACAGAAGCGTTTAGTTTAACACGCGGGCAGTAAGACCCGGAAAATGTAACTATAAGGTATCAGTCGGGCAGTTGCAAATTGCTGAATAACATCAAGTTATCGCCAATTTAAAAGACCGGATGGCAAGTACTTACTTGTGACCGCCTTAACTAATTTTAACGTATTGTTTATGATTTGAATCTTTTTAAAATAACTCCTGGAAAACATCCTTATTAACAAACATAAGCCTAACTTAAAAAAAAACAGGAAAAATATCAGCCATGCAGACGTACCCTTCCACATGGTATCCTTCCAATATTTGTCGAGTGTAACTGCAAAGCAAAGCTTTGTAATTCGATGTCAGTTATAATCGAAATCGGAGCAGACAATAATGGTTTGTTGGGTATTTTAGGACGTATCTTGACAGCTATATTTAATTCAGGAAATGCATCATAATACCTGAAAAACAATCAATTTAACTAAATTAATTATCGCTTTAGATTTTTCTTTTTCAACTATTATGAAATAGCTAAACTGCCCGGATCAAACGAGGATGAGAGTGCAGGAGAGTTAGCAATCTCGCGACCTTGCATGGTTAGCTGTTTTATAAAGCTTTCCCAACACTATTGCCGTATTTTATTTAGTTAAAACGTAGTTGGAACCCTCATCAAACCTTTATTTTGTTAAATGCGGGACTGCCAACTCTATAATCAATTCTCGTTTGACTGGGGTTTGAGAATTTGAACTCGGTTATAAAGTTTCAAAGTGTACTATTTAGTTGCTTACAGGTCTACGTATTCCTTGGCAAGTTTTCCAACTTTATCCCAAATAAGTAATCCATCATCTCTGTAGGGGAAGTATGGTAATATTCCATTGACGTCCATTACTCCTCGTTTCTGCCAAGAGAATCATTTTAACTGTGAACATCATTAAATACTTCAATACACTACTGTAAATTACGTTGATTTCGAAATATTTCTATACGTTTTGCCAAATTGGAGATTAGAGACGGTTCTTTCATATTTATATTCGGTACAAAAATATACTTGGATTGGGGCGTGGATACGGGTAGTTAAGCATTACCTATTAATCATGACGTAAGCCTGGTGTATAAAAGGCGCGAAATGTTGTTATTATGTAGCAAGTGTCAAAGTTCAAATTTCCTGTTTGCCGATTGGACAAAACCATATCACGTGCCGCTCCACAAAACGTCATGTTCACTGCATGCTTTTGGTGAGGGGGCAACCCTATATCTATGCGGCAACCACTGACCTCGTGCCCAGTCGTCAATTATGATTTATGAGTACATATCGTATATATATAGAACCGGTCAACAACGAAACAATTATTGACCGGTCAATAATAAAACCGGTAGTGAGGCGCGAGTTGTTCGCGTCAACCAGCAAGTTCAATGCAAAATTCTTTCAAGAGGGTACTTCCTCGGGTAGAAGAATTTGCATCACAGATTACGTCATCAGTTAGTTATAGTAATTAGTGTTGGGGTTAGGGTAAGGGTTAGGGTAAGGGTTAGGGTTAGATTAAGGATTAGGCTTAGAGATAGGGATTGGGTTATATCTGACGCCACAAACAACACAACTAGCCGATCACGTGATCAGTTCTCCTCTACCCGAGGAACTATCCGATATAACAGACAATTTGATTGGCTAATGCGCGTGCATTGTGATGCAATAATGCACTGTGGTCCGTGGCACTGCCTTGCTCTTTCTGTGTTTTTCCATGGTTTTTAGCCAAAAAATGTAAACAAAACTATAGCTTTTTTAAAAATACAAAATTATTGAAAAGGCAAGAAGAAATATACCAAAAGAACAAAGCAATTTTATCTATAGTTCTACGTGTAAAAACAGTAAAATTAACTTTGAAAATGGCAACGAAAACTGATCGAACGGAAGTGATTTAGAAAGTACATTCAATGGTTCTAATAAAAACTGCTAGATATATTTTCGGCAAAAGGCAAAAAATACATTATTTTAAAAATTTAAAAAACTGAGCAACACGACGAAACCTACGTCTTTCATGGCAAATCCGGCAGTCCATATGCTGAAATTAGTCTGTGTATCATTGGGCTATTTCCTCCAGCATTTTAAACAGTTTCTTCGCAACCTTATCATCAACATGTTATCAAAATTGTATTGTTTTTGTTCTTTCGCTCGCTTGAAAATTCAAGCGACAGTACTAAGGTGTAAAAGAATGCGCGTGACGTCAGTGAGTACATGTTAGGATAATTTCAATGTCGATCTTTCGAGTCAAAATTGTTTAGTGCAAAATCTTCTACTTATATACTATAAAATAAATAGAAAAACTCGTCTCGTGCGTTTATGGTGTGATAATGCACTCGGGGAATGTTGTGAGAATACTCGAGAAGCGTGTAAAACACTCGGCTACGCCTCGTGTTTACACGCTTCTCGGGCGTATTCTCCCCGCAACATTCCCCGCGTGCATTATCACACCATAAACGCACGCGACTCATTTTCTATTTCTTAAAACATAAAAACAGGTCATGCATGATTTATCGGTGATTTGGGGGTTGTTGGGAGAAAATTACAAAAAGGAGGCGAATTTCCCAACAAAAGCTTCGACGCGATTGTTTGTGAAGTATAACCAATGTGGAAAAGATTTTGTAAACATTAAATATAAAGCTACAATTACTACAACTCAAGGTGTCTGAGAGCAAAGCGATAGCAGATAAGGATTATCGAGACAACTGAACGACATTGCGATAATTTAACTAAGCCTAAGGTATTATAAATTTCCCAAGTCTAAAAACCAATTGTCTAATATTAACGTACTATACCTGTAACGTTTTAGGAAGAGTTACTATTTTTAGACTTTGTAATTTTGTATTCTTTTGTATTTTAAACCAGTTAACTCCAATCCTAACCCTAAACCTAACCTTACTTCAAGCCTAACCCTAATCTTAATCATAACCCTAATCCTAACCCTTTCCCTAATCCAAACCCTAATCCTAACCCTAAAAGTCTAAAAATAGTAACTGTTCCTAAATCGTGACTCATATGTATACAGTATAACGCACCTTCTACGAAATTACCGAAATTGTTAATAGTGACCTTAAGTCGGTTTTCCACTAGTGAATTTCTTTATTGTTAAAATTGAAAAGAATTTAGACCAGACCAGACGTGTTGGTCAAGATGGCGACCAGACGTGTTATGGCGAACTCCGATATTATTCCACCATTACTTGATAAATCTCGTAAAGAAATTGTTAATTCATCAACTATCGGTATTGATTTTCTTGGTAATGCTTTAAGCAACGACCTTATACTTACGAGGGCACACATTTGAAATGGTGCAATGATTTAGACTCTCTTAATTTAAGGCGTTTGTTGCCGAAGTGCTTGACCTAAACGGGAAATGGTGTTCTCCTGGAGGTGGGTCTAAGAGGTTCACAGGCTCCAATGCTGAACTAACTTTGACGTGGTATTCAGGCAAGCAAAACACTTTATTATTTCAAGGCAAAGATGGCAACCTAATTCGGGATGGATGTGTCAAATTTTGTCAGATACGGGATGGTGTTACGAAGTCGAGTTGTAAACAAGTGCAAGCCCTGTCAAAAAATTCAGAGTTACAGCGGGATCTCATTGCTCAAAATATTTTGGAATCAGAGCCTACACCTATATTGAGATCATGACCGGCCAACCAAGTTGATGTCGCATCACAGGTTTGTCTAGACATTATAGGTGATAATTCCAACTATTTGTCGAACTGTCGCTGTTCGTGTGGCGTTCTAACTGCTGATGTTGAGGGAGTTAAATTAGATATTATTACTCTACCTAACAGAATCGATTCGATTGCAAATGCTAATACCGAATATTCTCATAAAGATAAAGAAATTGATCGTCTTCGGAGTGAACTTTCGATTGAGAAGGCGAGATCTGAAAAGCTTGAATCTGAGTTGAGTTTATTTGTGAAAGAACGATCCCTTGAAATTGAAAAGTTGAATCAGACCATTGTTTCCCTAGAGAATAAAAATGCATCTACATTTGCTGCTCCGATGAATAATAACAATAGTAAGATTAATAAAAACACTCTTATGAACAAAAACAACAGAAATGGTCACCGAAACAATGGTCATCATAACAACAATGGGTTAAATCAATGCAAATCTCAAAACGTCAGTTTACAACCTTTCATCCCTGCTCCTGTAAATAATAGGGACCTTGAAAGTGTGCCGTTTCACGACACTAATAGGGACTTACAAAACAAGGGACTTACAAAACAAGGCACTACAAATCAATCAAATTGCAAATATGCCCGAAAAGCAACCAATATCGGAATGGATTGGTTCTTTACCGTTAATAGACATACCCATCCAAGCGAAAAATAACCAATATATTAGTGGAAATACCTCGAACAAGCCTCCTTTTCCCAAGCGCTATCGAATGAAACCACCACCCTATCGAACGAGCCATCGCCACCAATCCCTCGAATGGCTGAGCCATTTGGACTTTGTACACCAACTGTGCAAGAGGCAGGAAACGTGACAACTATGTCTATTCCTACACAAATTACTGCACGGAAATCCCAACCATTTTTTACAACTTACCGAAATCATCATAGACCTTGTGGCTCTAACATACTAAATCTGAAAAATATTGTCATACACAAACCTAATGCCTGTATTACAAAGTCCTCAAAGTCACATTTACCTAATTTCTGCTGTATTAATGCCAGATCGCTGCTTCCAAAAATAGATGAACTCACCTTGTTTTTAAGGCCTCGCCAACCCAGTGTAGTGGCGGTCACTGAATCGTGGTTGAACAGTGACATTGAGGATGGACTCGTTTCGATAAACGGATATAACATTTTTCGTAAAGACCGTTCTAGCCGTCGTGGAGGAGGAATTTGTGTTTATCTACCACAGGGCACCTATGCCAAACGTAGGTTGGACATGGAACATGAAAATTTAGAATGTCTGTGGCTGTGGCTTCGCCCTACCCGCCTTCCCAGACCGCTCTCTGGTATTGCAGTGTGCATAGTCTATCATCCCCCTGGTTTACCTGTAGAAAACCACCGCCAACTTAATGAATACTTAGTTTTAACAATATAGATTCATTACGCAACCAACATCCCAACTGTGGCCTAGTCCTTCTTGGTGATTTTAACGATTTCGATATATCGAATATATTATCAAGTCATAACCTGAAGCAAGTTGTCAAAGTCCCTACAAGAGGAACAGCCATTTTGGATCTGATAATTACGAACCAACCAAACCTGTATGAACCTCCCCAAGTTTTAGCGCCCTTAGGGCCTCAGACCATAATATTGTAATATGGTCACCCAGTCTAGAGAATACCA